CACACACACACACACACACACACACACACACACACACACACACACACTAAGTGAACGGCTCTACGCAAACAACAAGAGACACACATCGTTTAAACACAGACAGAGGTGAAACATGTTAGATGACAAACAAAATAACTTTAAGCTCTCCTCTATTGGTGCCATGGTTTAGGTTTTCCACAGAAAAAAACACTGAATCTCTAAAACCTTAATCCTCTCACTGCTGATCTCAACACACACACACACACACTCACACACTGTGACTGTGAGCTATTCATTACCAGTTATAACTATAAAATATATGAGGGATGTCTTCATCAGAACAAACTATAATGAAAGAGCTGATTGGATGGTTCAACATGATGGATTACATCTACGCAGCTAACACTAAGTAGTTTGATCTTTGGCTAGCACAACCATATGTTCTAGGATATCCTATGGTACATCTACAGCTGTACACTCACTGTGTTTACACGCATGCACACAAATACAGAGTAATACAATTGAGACAATAGTTTGATGTAACGGAGTTAATTTGAGTCAGCATTGTGTTTCTTATCAATTTAGACGACGTAATTGTGTATAACGATATCAGGATGGTACAAATATTAGTGGAAATAAGAACAGAACTGAGATAGAAGCTCCACATTAAAGCACATCATGGTAAAGGTTTAAAAGATTGATTTGAAGAGAAGGAAGTTCAAGTTTACTGCTCTTTTTCTGTAGGCATGTCGCTCCCCACAGATAGCCTCCAAAACCAGGCGCCGTTAACAATTCTGTCAAAGTCTGACCAATCAAGAGCCGTCCAATCAAATAACCCCGTTGGGACGGGCGGCGTATCCGCTGTCTGCGTCGTTTATAATGTATATCCCCACGACTGTGTTCCAAGCCGTTATCCTTGAGAGTGTCAGAGAGAGGTGTTGTGGTGCGCTAGAGACGGCAGGTACAGGAAGGTGTAGACCAGCAGAAGCAGCAGCAGAGCCAAAACCAGAGGCAGGCACCAGTCGTTGGTGACCAGCACGTTGTCACAGCGAACCTGCAGGAAGGAGGCCCTGTGGGGGCGCGGCTGCTCCTCCACATGGGCCGGCATGACTGAGATGTATGTAGATCTCCCAAGTTAAAGCGCCAGTTTGAACCAAAACCTGCAGAGTTCTGCTCCTTTCACTTTTAATCTTTTATAACACACCTCGATGTTTCAGATGGTCTCCTCCTTTCTCTAAAACTTCTTTCCTCCTCATTTTGGGGCTCTAATAAGTCGAAACCTCATGAACGCATCCTCTCACCTGTTTTCCCACCAGCTTGCTACTCTGCTCCCACACCACTAGCATCAAACACACACACGCACCAGGTGTTAAGGGATTACTCTCTAAGCCTCCATGCAGAGCAACATAGTGTGGACAAGAGCAGTGACCTTCAACACCCCCAGAAACACACATCTGCCCTGCATGTGTCCACATGCAATATACAGTTGAGTGCAGGAGTGTGTGTGTGTACGTGTGTGTGTACTCACGGCTCCAGGATGTATGTGTACTGCCCCTCAGGCGTGCGGTCCTGCCTGTATGAGAGGTTGTACGCCAGCATGGTGTTGATCAGCTCACGCATCTGCTCCTTCTCTCTGCTGCTGAACAGCTGCGGATTCACCTGGAAAGAGAAACACAAACAAACAAACACTTTACTTTTACTTGAACAGATGCAGGGCTGAAGGTCCTCCATTAACACACATGCACAGGTTTACTGGATG